GTGCACGTAATACACCTTTGGTTTTCAGTAATTATGTGTACAATATTTGCAGATAGAGGTGCCAAATGTTTACAGTTCTGTCAAAACTGGATTCTTTGTTTACTGGTGTTGCTTTTTTAGGTGCTGCTTGCAAACACATTCTGCAACGATGCCTTCTTTAAGAACAATTACTGGATGGTTCAGCTGCAAAAACGTAAGTACAACACAAAACTGTAATTGAGAACAGCACCGTGATCCGTGTGGGACTTTTTTTTCCTTCTTTCAGCAACATCTTAGTACAAAAGACTTGCATGTGTTGTGGAATTTCCCCACCAAACAGCACATACCAACACTGGAACCGCCCGCTGCTTTTTATTTTCACACCGTGCACTTTTTTTAATGACCTCGAAGTAATGCAGAGCTAACCAGCGCTTTGATCAAGTGCTGTGTTTACGTCTGATCGGAGTGCGTGGCGTGGTTTGTGATTCTTGTCTCAATTCGTTTCAGACTCTCCTGAGAACAACGATGCCAACATCAAGAAGATTGCCAAACAGGTCCTGGAGAACAGAGCCTACATCTGCTCTCACCCTCTCGAAAGAACTTACTGAGCTCTGCGCTGAGACCATAATACTGTTTCCTGTATTCTGATTGGACTATTCTGACCAGTCCCAATGATGCGTCTCCAATCTTGTATTAGTGGTTGTTTGTACATTCAGTAAAACATGAAGAGATTAATATTAGCCGTTTTATATTAATAATAACTTCAGTGGGTCAGACTTCTACTCTGATGACTTTACATGAAACTCAATCCTAAGTGCTTTTTCACTTTAATGCTGTAATGAATAATTTTGCAGGATAGCAGTTTTAATGAGCCTGTTTGGACACCAGGTTTTCCTGAATGGCTGACTTTTACTGTTTAATGCTACTTTTGAAACCTGAAGATGCTCCTCTCCCTGTCTGTCAGAGGCAGGGCAGTCCGCTTGTACAAAAATGAATGCTGCTCACAGAATCCACTGTAAGAGGCAACATGAAAAAAAAAAAGAATATATTACTTCAGAAATCTTTCATTTCTCCAGCATTTGTCTTTTCAAACAGCACTTGAGCTCACTTGTAGTGGTACTTGCTGTACTGAGAGTTGTGTCTGGGAAAGGCGTTTCTTCCCAGGCTGCAGGCCATGCATGGGCCTGGAGTCAGAGGCACTTTCTCCCGTTCCTCTGCTTTGTCGTCAGCAGCGTTCATCACGGACAGTTGAGGAAAAGGCTGTGAAACAAAATGCAGCTCTTGGCTCAAAGATTTCCTCAGTTAGGTGCGAGAAGAGCCACGATGATAAAAGGAAAAACAAATATACAAGATGTAAACTAAACGTGTAGAATAAATGGCCTTTAAAGTTGCATTTTTGTTAACACTTTTGTGAACTGCTGTAGCTGGAAA